CCTCCTTCCCTATAGGTACATATCCTCACACTCCTTCCCTGTGTACGCACACACACACAAATCCTCCTTCCCTGTATGTACGTACACAAATGCACTCCTCCTTCCCTGTACGTACACACACACACCCCCTACATCCCTGTACGTACGTATACCGACACACTCTTTCCTTCCCTGTCTACGCACACACATGCACACACACTCCCTGTGTATGTACACATGTACACGCTCACTGCTTACGCACCCCCATCCACCACATGTCATACACCCAACACACACAGCTATAAACACCATAAATACACTCCTGCACACGTACCCAACCGCACTCCATATACACTTCTCAGACAGGTACACCCTCCATGTACCATCCAGACACACCCATGCCATCCCCACACAATCATATAGTACAACCCCCCCCATTTACCCATCAAATACCACAGCGGATACACACAAGCCATGCACACATCATCGTCACACACACACTCCCCATCCCTGACACACACAGACAACACACCATACGCACAGCCCCGTACCCGGTTGCTGCGTCACACCCAGACCTAGGCACAATGACACAGTCACAGCATTGGCTGAGGGGCGGTGTGGTGCAGGGGCCGCAGTCTCTTTCCGAGGAGTCTCCTGCTGCCCTCTCACGGGAGGGAGGGACAGAGCTGCCGCTCCAGACTCCACACTGGGGAGTGCACCCTGCTCTGCCTGGCCTCCAGCCCCTTCTCCAGGGGACAGAAATCAAGTGTGGGGTGCTGCACGCTACCCCTCCATTCATCCCCTCTCCCCAGCTTCAGCTGCCTTCCCTCTGGGGAAGCCCCGGCGCTGCCTGCCGCAATGGCTCTGCAGAAAGGACGAAGGGCAGGTCCCCTACCCCAACAGTAGCGGGGGTGGAACCTGCTCCTGTCTTGCTCACGCAGGCGGCGTCCAACCCCCAGCCGGACCAGCAGGAAAGCTGCAGGGTGTTAGTGAGCCTGGCTTAGCGCATCCACATCGCACGGTACCGCCCCGGTTCTGAGCTCCGCCGCACCACGCTGGGTTAGAGCCAAAGCCAGGGGCGTGAGCAGCCGTCTGAGACGTGTGTGCAGCCTGCGGGCGCCTTGCCCTTTGCCCGAGGTGTCCCCGATCATCCTGCGGGAGCCGCGTCACTGCCAAGCCAGGGCAGGCAGAGAGCGAGCCAATGGGCCAGCCACCACCACATGTGGAAACTCAGCACAACGCCAACCCTGGCTGCCCTAAACGGGGTGCAGGGACAGCTCTGCAACGCGGGCCTCGTGCTGCGGACGTGCACTGCCCTTAGCACGCTTTGCACACCTACCATGCCCAAGCAATCCAAGCGCTAGAGCCGCCTGTTCGGTGCTACAGACCGAGGGCTTCTGGCTTTCACACTTCAGACTTGAAAAACGAGAGGGCGGGTAACTAGTGGCAAATAAACTGAGTGGAGGGCAAGCCCAGCTTCCCAGGGGCTGCTCCTGCTGCCAGCAGCCCCATGTGAAGCTGCTGATGGGCGGGGAAGAGAGCAGGAGCTGTGCTGTATCGGAATACCGGGCACCACTGGAATTCCATGCCGAGAGTTGCCTATGCCATCTCATCCCTCCCTGCTGCCGGCTTTTCTGAGTCCTTTGCAGCTCCATGCTAAAGGCAGGATGCCTGTGGCATGGGTCACTCTGAATATTTCAGGGCATGTCACGGTGAAGTGTGGATACTCTCCAGAAAATGTCATTCCAGGGCTCCAGGCTTCCCGTCTCTCCCTGATGCAGACAGAAAGTGCTCAGCTTAACAGTAAAAAGATGTTTCTTGTCTACACCCAAATTTGCACTGGGGTAGTTAAACCAGTGCAAACCCGTGTGTACACTCTTATTCCGGTTTAATGGCGGTTTATTTAGGTTAGACTTAAACTTGTTTCTAGGTGACTTCTGCTAACTAGAAATAAGCCTGGTTCCAACCAAAACAAGGGCGTCCGCACAGCCCTTGGCACCTACGTCAGTTTAAAATTATACCCGAGGCCAACACGGAGCAACTGCCCTATTGCCCTGCCCTGCTGAGTCAGCTTGGGCTGGGACTCGGCTCGGCCGTGTCCCCAGCAATACAAGCTGCCCGTGGCTGGGGGGCGTCTCTCCCAGAGCTGGGCTGGCTCTGCAGGCCCAGGACCAACGGCTTGTGTCTGTCACTAAGGTGAGCAGGTTGGCCTGGGGCACACAGGCCACGTTTTCTGACCATAATGCAAGTGTGATTCTGTCTATTTCCCCTCCCACGGCCCCTGGGATTGTATGGCAGTGGTTTCTCCCCTAAATCTGCGGCTTCAAAACAGCTTGTTCAGCCAGCTGGCACAAGAGGCACCGGGGTGAAGAGACCGCGCAGAAATCTGCCCAGTTATCCCGCATGGATTCACTGCCATGCTGTGAGCTTCCACCTCCTGGTGCTGGACAACCGCTCCCGAGTGGGAACCGGGTCAATGTGAATTAAAGCCATGTCCCCACCTCATCTGCATTAACCCTCGCTGTGCCCCATGAGGCGGTTGGCGAATGTTGCCCCTCTCTGACAGATGGGGAACCTCAGGCACTGACCAGCGGGCACAGCTTGCCCTGGATTACTTGGCAAATCGGTGGCAGAGGCGGGATTAGAAGCCAGGAGTCTCGGGGTCCCCGTGCTCTACCCACTACACCCCGCTGCTTCGCTCAGGAGGCTTGAGTATATGTGATCTGACATGGATCTCCAAAGCGGCGCCTTTCCCTTTCTTTTTAAAGGGGTGTGTAGAATCCAGAGGGCATTCACCCGTCAGCTCAGCCATCGCACCATGGCCCCCTTACCTGACTGGTGATGTCAGATGGCATCGGCGACGGCGGCTTGGAGTACGTGGCATCCTGGGAGATGAAGCCAGAGTCATGGGAGGAGACGCTGGACAGGCGGGTGTTGGCGTTAACCGGCTGCGCCAGGCTGCGGTAGCGATAGGTGGAACCTGGTGAGTATGTTTGGGACCCGCCGGACCAAGCGGCACCACCCTTTGTACTGTTAACACTGCTGGGGGGCGGCGGGGAGGAGGGATGAGAGGGAGGAGGGGTGGCAATCAGGAGAGAGATGCATGTTATCAGGGTGAGAAGGGTTACGAGGAGGGCAAAGGAAGGAAAAGACAGTTTCAGACAAAGGTCCACCACACAGATTTATACACGACAGGACTAGAGTTACAGACCAGGGGGGCGGGAGGGGTGGGAGGGAGGAGGAGGAGCAGGAAGGGGGGTGCACTCCTGCATTTCTGTCTCTGGGGCAGGCCCAGTTTCTGCCCCCATGCAGCATGCACCCTCCAGCACACACTCATTTTGCGGGTCCCCCCATCCCACTGGCCCCCTCTCTAGCCCTGGCCGCACCGAAGCACATTCCAGGGCGAAGGGGAAGAGCCAGCAATGGAGGTGCTACGGAAGGCCAGAAGTTCAGTTCAGATGTGCACCCACAATAGTCAGGGAGCTGTTTGTCCCTAGATCTCACAGCACCGCCCCAGGGGAGCCTAGATCTGCTCTAGGAATTATTTCGGGGAAGTTCTGTGCACTGTGCTCTAAAGGAGGGAGAGAAGAGATGGACAGTTCAATTAACTTTGTAACCATTCTGTGACCCCATGTGTTCCACAAATCCTCCCTCCACCGGGGGCTCTTCATATTAAGCATTACTGAGTAGTAAGATTCTCACGTAAGCAACACCTCTGGGGTTACACAAGCATGGTCCGGGCCCGAAAAGCAGGATTGTGAAAAGCAGTTCATCTGATGGAGGATTAAGCCCCATGCCACAGATACTGATCTATGCTAACCCTCAGTGCAAAGCTTTAATGATCAATTAGCATCTGATCCACAGGGAGTCTTGGGGACACTTCTTCATGTGCCTGAGGAGCTGAGCTCAGGCCAGGTATTCGGCGTTACCACCTGAGCACTCACACACTTATACAATGAGGTTGTGAGTATTAAAGCAGAAACTCCTTCGCCCCAATCCCAATTGTGAGGTCCCCTGCTACAGTCCGTACATACCTGCACATGCTGGACTTGCGGGAGCCAGAGCTGCTGGGGGAGGATGGAGGAGTCTGGTAGGACCAGCTGTAGTCAGAGCCTTTCAGGTCTTTGATCACCTGCAGGAGAAAGGAGCCAGGCCACGTTAGTATTGTAACTTATCAAAGAGCAGGCGAAGGGGCGACTCACTCACTGTCTGTGAGTACCGCCATGGGGAATAACTATGGAATACTGGGCTCTTCGGCTAGCAGGGAAAGGCCTCACAGGATCCAATGACTGGAAGTTGAAACTAGACAAACTCAGCCTGGAAATATGGCATTAAAGGTCTAACAGGGAGGGTAATTAGTCACGAGAGCAACTTCCCAAGGGTCACGTGGAGTCTCCATCACTGGCCACTTGTCAGTCCAGATGGGCTGTTTCTCTCAAAGCTCCACTCTGGGAATGACTGTGGGGCCGGCCTCTGGCCCCTTCCATGCAGGGGGTCAGTGTGACACTCTGCATCTCGGGGGAATACCCTGCACCCCATGTTCATCCTTATAATATGATTGTGTGGTATCCAATGCAAAGTTGGTCATGTCGGTGTCTTCGGAAGGCTCATGATGCACTGAGCATTGTTGTTATAGTGATGTTATAGGTTGTAA